TTTATTAACATTTTTAGAAGAACGAATTTCAAAGCATCAGCATGGATTTGTGAAGGGTAAATCTTGTCTTTCTAATCTCTTAGAGACATTTGATAATATTCTTGATATTTTAGACGAAGGTGCTCCTGTCGATCTTTTGTATTTTGATTTTAGTAAAGCTTTTGACACAGTCCCCCACTTTAGACTTCTATCTAAATTGGAGGGGTTTGGGGTCAAGGGAAAAGTTTTAGATGTTATAAAAGACTTTCTGACAGACAGAACCATGAGGGTTTGTGTAGAAGGACAATGGTCTGAGGTGAAACACGTGTTATCTGGTGTTCCCCAGGGGTCAGTATTGGGTCCTTTGCTATTTATTCTTTATATAAACGATTTACCTGACAATGTTAAAAATAAGATTAAATTATTTGCAGATGATCTCAAGCTAGTTTGTAATGCAGCTAACCATAGAAGTGTATCTGATGATATTTTAGAACTCGAAATTTGGGAGAGTATTTGGCACTTAAACTTCAATCCTGCCAAGTGTAAAGTAGTCCATATTAATCTGAATAATAATCCTAACTCGAATTATATTGTAAATGGAGTAGAACTAGAAGTATCTGCACAGGAAAAAGATTTGGGGGTTATTACCCATAGCTCCTTGCTTTGGAATGAACAGATAAAAGCATGTATTTCTAAAGCAAATCGTATGATCTGCTGGATTGTAAGAAATTTAGTTATTAGAGAAAAGGTTGTAATGATAGCTATTTATAAAGCTTTGATAAGACCTCATCTTGAGTATTGTGTCCAATTGTGGAATCCAGTTGCGGCTCATGGAAGTTGGGGGACTGTTTTGGAGCTGGAGAGCGTCCAGAGGCGGTTTACCCGTCTTATTGATGAGGTGGGTACTCTTCCATACAGCCGCAGACTGGATATCCTCAATTTGACAACGCTGGCAGAGCGGCGAATACGTGGGGACCTTATCGAAGCTTTTAAAGTAACTAGTGGTTTGACTGAATATGGATCGGGTTTGTTCAGAATGAGCAGATCTGGTCTTAATCTAGTTTCAACTAATAGGTGTAATAAGAGTGTAACTAAAGTTAAGAATCTCCAGTCTTCTTTTCTTCCGGAGCGAGTCATTCCTTACTGGAACAAACTCCCTTCGGATGTCAAGAACTGCTCGACAGTTTTAAGCTTTAAAGTTAGATTGGAAGGATTTAAGAAAGAAATGATTTCTAAAAACAGTGTAAATGATTTTTATTTTTGGAATATTTCGAGTGAAGTTTTAGGGAAAATTGAAGGACCCAGTTATTTAAGCAATAAGGAGACACATAATGAATATCTTTGGTTTCGTCCTTTTGTGGCAAAGAAGCGTTTTATAAATCTTTATTCCACTGGGAAGTATTAATGAATTATTTATAGATAATGTATTAGATTTTATTAATTAATAAAATTGAATTTGATAAATTATTAATGTTGATGGAAAAATATATTTATTTAAATTATTTTTTTATTTAGTGCAATGATATTTTGTAGATCACTTGTGATGATGTTATGTCATAATCTTTACTTACTTACTTACTTACTATTTCGAGAAGAAAGCGGCGCGCGCTACTTCGAAGAAATTTAGACGAGTAACATCCGTCAACAGCTTTCTAATATCCACCTTGAAGCTGCATTTTATATCCGTGAACTACACAATATAAACTATAGCATGTTTTAGTGTAGACTTTTTGTCACAACAAGACTGCAACCTATTAATAGTAACCTGTTAATAGTAACAACTATAAACAGAACCCCTAATGTCTATTAACAAATTTCTTCTAGTCCTAATATGAGCCTTGTCTCTAAAAACCTAACTGAACCTTGCCTCCTTGCCCCGTTAGTTACCTGTCCTTCCAAAACCAAACTAGCAGTCAAGGACAAAAAGTCATACACCAAATGGGCATTATATTTTATGAATTGTTTATTCATCTTTTTATTCTGTAAAATGTGTTAAAATTAAATTTCTTGTTTCATTGAAATTTCTTGTTTCATTGAATAAAACTGCATTAAATGTTTTTAGCTTTAACAGCGTTAATGGCAAGTGCAATAAGGGCACTACTCAGAGTACTGTAGTTTGATTTCCTAACCATAACCCTAATTTTAACACGAATTAATTAAACCAATTTTTGTAACATTCATTTTTAAATGTTGATATAACGGTTAAAGTGCAAACAGTCGAACTTCAATTTTAAATTTATTGTATCACTAATGACTAAATCACTTAATTACCTGCAGCTAAAAACATACATTATTCCTTGTACTGCACACTCTCGAAAGATTTAACAGGTTGTGCATGTGAACAGCTATAATGCAAAACTATATTTTAATTCCTTACATACCCAAACCATGGGCTGTGCTGCCTAATAATGCATTTAATTGTGCTAATATACATGCAAATTTCAAAGAATTATGCACATTATTTTTAAAACCATCTGCTTGCTATATCTTATTTTGTACAGGGTGGGCCAAAAGTCAGTGGGCATACGTTGGCCTCAATAGCTCCACCATGTTTTATATTTGAGAGCTGTTGCTTTGCAGATGGCATACTGTACTTACTGGTTCGAGGATTCCGTCATCAAAATTTGAAAATTCGAATATTTTAGACCACGCCCATTCAATATTAAAACACCTGTACTGTTTTTTCTGAACAGACGGTAGAGTATTAAATGTTGCATTATATGATCTGAAAACATGACGCAAAACAGATTAGAAATGACGAAGTTATCAAGCATTTTGTGTATCTTGTTAACAAAATTGACTGGGTGATTATGTGACACCGTGACACGACACCTTAATTGGGCAGCCTTAACGATTCTCATAATGTTTAACGGGGTGGTTAACGGGGTCACCTTATCACGTGATTAGGTAAGCCAATCATCTGATCACACGTAATGAATAAACTCGTTATGCTTCATATCTCGGTGATCTGAGAAGCTAAAACTCTCATTTTTTCAGGACAAACGTAATTCGAAAGGCCAAACACAATTCAATAAAATTTGGCTCGATCCATCTATCCAAACTATCAAATAAATGCGAAAATGAACCTTAATTTTTTTTAAATGAACACGAATATTTTTCGATTTGACAAATTCCTCGAACCAGTGGTGGTATTAAGTCATACCAGAAAGAATTATTTCAATTGGGCACTCAGTGACTGAGCTATTAAGGCCAACGTATGCCCACTGACTTTTGGCCCACCCTGTATAATAACTTGTAGCATAGGGATTTTCAGTAACTTCAAACTTGGCAATATCTCATTTTTGAGTAATAGTCTGAAATTCTGAACTTAAACACAAAATTATTTTGGGTGTATTTGAACATTTGTTTATGACATCGGCAAATTTTCTTAATATATTTAATTTTCTACAATAACAAACTAGATTACAAAATCATGGAAAAGATTTCCACCTGCATTCAGTGACTTTTAATTCAATCCTAATTTCGATTGAGTTTTCGAAAAAGATTCCGAATTTCTAATTTCGACCCCGACTTGACTACTGTCTTGGACTTTTTTGCACAGTCCAAGACATAATTTCCCGAATCTTTGTAAAATTCACGTGAGATTGTTGATATTTAAGATATACATGTTGAGTTGATTGTAAAGATTACATTTAGAATGAATTTTACAACAGTTTAAATTCCAATTCACTATTAAGAAATTACCAATACTATGTTATAGATATTAAGCTGGATGCTACATAAGATCTTAAAAGCCCACTCTCTAGTTGCTGTCAGCTTGCTTAGCTACATATACCTCTTGGGTGGATTAATAATCAACTTTCTACAGTTATTAGTAAGTTTTACTGCAGATTGCCTACAATTAATAATCAACTTTCTACAGTTATTAGTAAGTTTTACTGCAGATTGCCTACATTATTATGTGTTATATCTTAAAATTATGTAAAACGAGAAAAAACCTCGCTAAAATAATTCCTGATGTTAACTGAAATTAAACTTTTCAGACATTCATATTTGTGAAAACACTATCTGCAAAATGGGGAAGGAAAATTAACGGTTATTTGCAAGCTTCCCTTTTTTCTGGTAAGAGTTGACTAACTGTATTTTATCTAATTAATTACTTATTTTTACTCTGATATTTGAAACAGCCTCATGGTTACTGAGTAACCCAATTACAGAAAACCAAACTATATTAAATGCTGGTAGTGTGTATCAGACACTAATAATTCACCAAGGCAGAGATTGATGGCTCATGGCAAAGAGTGACAACCTGTTAGAATGAAATGAATAAATAAATTAAGCATGCCTCCCGGTGACTGAAAATATAAATCTAGATATTGCATTCCATTCATGATAGCTTGGCTTAGTCCGTTAGGCGGATTTGCATCATCAAATATGTTTAAACTGTTTTGGCAAATACGAATTAATTCGTTTGCCACAATAATGAGTTCAGATTTGTGGTTTAAGTTTCTTGAAGAGCATGATGTGCATAATCAATATTGTGACTTGAATTGCAAGATCCCATTTTTAAATATGATGTAGCATGTAAACTAAAAGTAGCCAAATTTGGGTAAATAGATTTTATTTCCAGACAATTTAAAAATTCAACCACTGGGGCCAGCATAGTTCATATCTACAGTAGTAGTAACCATGGTGACTAAAGTTCTATTATTCGTAGCCAAAAGGTCACTTCAACGACAAATAATCGGAAAACAATGATGACAACTGTGAAATTTATCTTTACTTTCAGTATTTACATTTGTTGTGGAATGGCACTGCAACTGCAACATCCGCTTTTTCTGCGTTCCAGAGGATGTGAAGAACATAACCCGAGAACATTGTCTTTCTATCTGTAATCACCGTGGTGAGGTTGACTGGTTGTTGGGGTACGTGGTAACAGAACGACTGGATTGTCTTAGGGTGAGTTACTAGGTTACTAGGTTACTAGGTTACTAGGTTACTAGGTTACTAGGTTAAGAACATTGTCTTTCTATCTGTAATCACCGTGGTGAGGTTGACTGGTTGTTGGGGTACGTGGTAACAGAACGACTGGATTGTCTTAGGGTGAGTTACTAGGTTACTAGGTTACTAGGTTACTAGGTTACTAGGTTACTAGGTTACTAGGTTACTAGGTTAAGAACATTGTCTTTCTATCTGTAATCACCGTGGTGAGGTTGACTGGTTGTTGGGGTACGTGGTTACAGAACGACTGGATTGTCTTAGTATTTCTCTCTCTCTCTCTCTCTCTCTCTCTCTCTCTCTCTCTCTCTCTCTCTCTCTCTCTCTATCTCTCTCTCTCTCTCACTCTCTCTCTCTCTCTCTCTCTCTCTCTCTCTCTCTCTCTCTCTCTCTCTCTCTCTCTATCTCTCTCTCTCACTTTCTCTCTCTCTCTCTCTCTCTCTCTCTCACTCTCTCTCTCTCTCTCTCTCTCTCTCTCTCTCTCTCTCTCTCTCTCTCTCTCTCTCTCTCTCTCTCTCTCACTCTCTATCTCTCTCTCTCTCTCTCTCTCTCTCTCTCTCTCTCTCTCTCTCTCTCTCTCTCTCTCTCTCTCTCTCTCTCTCTCTCTCTCTCTCTCTCTCACTCTCTCTCTCTCTCTCTCTCTCTCTCTCTCTCTCTCTCTCTCTCTCTCTCTCTCTCTCTCTCCTCTCTCTCTCTCTCTCTCTCTCTTCTCTCTCTCTCTCTCTCTCTCTCTCTCTCTCTCTCTCTCTCTCTCTCTCTCTCTCTCTCTCTCACTCTCTCTCTCTCTCTCTCTCTCTCTCTCTCTCTCTCTCTCTCTCTCTCTCTCTCTCTCTCTCTCTCTCTCTCTCTCTCTCTCTCTCTCTCTCTCTCTCTCACTCTCTCTCTCTCTCTCTCTCTCTCTCTCTCTCTCTCTCTCTCTCTCTCTCTCTCTCTCTCTCTCTCTCTCTCTCTCTCTCTCTCTCTCTCTCTCTCTCTCTCTCTCTCTCTCTCTCTCTCTCTCTCTCTCTCTCTCTCTCTCTCTCTGTCTCTCTCTCTCTCTCTCTCTCTCTCTCTCTCTCTCTCTCTCTCTCTCTCTCTCTCTCTCTCTCTCTCTCTCTCTCTCTCTCTCTCTCTCTCTCTCTCTCTCTCTCTCTCTCTCTCTCTCTCTCTCTCTCTCTCTCTCTCTCTCTCTCTCTCTCTCTCTCTCTCTCTCTCTCTCTCTCTCTCTCTCTCTCTCTCTGTCTCTCTCTCTCTCTCTCTCTCTCTCTCTCTCTCTCTCTCTCTCTCTCTCTCTCTCTCTCTCTCTCTGTCTCTCTCTCTCTCTCTCTCTCTCTCTCTCTCTCTCTCTCTCTCTCTCTCTCTCTCTCTCTCTCTCTCTCTCTCTCTCTCTCTCTCTCTCTCTCTCTCTCTCTCTCTCTCTCTCTCTCTCTCTCTCTCTCTCTCTCTCTCTCTCTCTCTCTCTCTCTCTCTCTCTCTCTCTCTCTCTCTCTCTCTCTCTCTCTCTCTCTCTCTCTCTCTCTCTCTCTCTCTCTCTCTCTCTCTCTCTCTCTCTCTCTCTCTCTCTCTCTCTCTCTCTCTCTCTCTCTCTCTCTCTCTCTCTCTCTCTCTCTCTCTCTCTCTCTCTCTCTCTCTCTCTCTCTCTCTCTCTCTCTCTCTCTCTCTCTCTCTCTCTCTCTCTCTCTCTCTCTCTCTCTCTCTCTCTCTCTCTCTCTCTCTCTCTCTCTCTCTCTCTCTCTCTCTCTCTCTCTCTCTCTCTCTCTCTCTCTCTCTCTCTCTCTCCTCTCTCTCTCTCTCTCTCTCTCTCTCTCTCTCTCTCTCTCTCTCTCTCTCTCTCTCTCTCTCTCTCTCTCTCTCTCTCTCTCTCTCTCTCTCTCTCTCTCTCTCTCTCTCTCTCTCTCTCTCTCTCTCTCTCTCTCTCTGTCTCTGTCTCTGTCTCTGTCTCTGTCTCTGTCTCTGTCTCTGTCTCTGTCTCTGTCTCTGTCTCTCTGTCTCTGTCTCTGTCTCTGTCTCTCTCTCTCTCTCACTCTCTCTCTCTCACTCTCTCAGGGTGAGCTCATTTCTTAGTATTTGATATAATCATAATAAATAAATAATAATTTGATAATGTGGCTTGTTGACAAATCATAATTTACGACTGTATTTTAATTAAAAATCCTTAAATCGCCATTTTTTTCTTCTAAAAGTTCCAAATGACTGAACGAAAGCTGATTTTATTTGTTTACAGGGCTGTAAAAGTCTGATAAAAAAGGAAGCTAAGTATCTGCCAGTGGTTGGTTGGAAGATGTGGTTTAGTGATTACTTGTTCTTGTCAAGAAATTGGGTGAAAGATGAGGATACCATCAGGAACACATGCCAAACTTGGGCCAGCTACGATCCTCACATCAACAACAACTTCGTAAGAGTTCTACTTTACATCTCAACTAATACCTGGCAGCTTCTTTTACTAGTAACTATCTTTTATATTACGTATCAATAATAATCCTCACCTTACTTATTATGGAAATTAAAAATTGGCGGTTTTTGGTCCATCCGCTATACTTTTAACGGTCGTTAACTTTAACGGTCATAATTTAACCCACTATGATATTAACGAGTAAGGTATAAAGTAATTATAATATCTAGACAATATTGAAGTCATGAGTGATTAGTGAACCATGTGTCCAGGTTTCTTAAAATAACAAATGCTAACATTTAAAAGTATTCAATATCTTCAGTACGTATTGTACGCTGAAGGAACACGCTTCACACTCGCTAAACACGAGGCTTCCATCAAGTTCTGTGAACAACGCAGCATTGAACCCTTCCGGAATGTACTTTATCCCCGTACCAAGGGGGCCGTTGAGGTTATTTCTCGGCTTGGGGAATCATGTAAGTTACTTATCGTTATTAGTTATTGAATATAATAGCAATTTTACTAGTTTTACATGTGCTGAAAGATAGGAATATTCAGTCAAATCATTTATTTAACCATTCAGCATTGCAGAATTAATTAAGTTATATTATATTATTGGTTATATTGTCAAGGGATTTAAACGTTAAACAGTTTGAAACACTGAGTAGACTAGTAGTGTAACTATGGTAACTAGTTACTTTGAACAGTTTGAAACACTGAGTAGATTTTTACTATCGATATTCAAATATCCAAATATGCTTGTACGTGTTTAGATATCTTGTGGAGTAGCTATAATAAATAAATAAATCTATAGCTCTACTTATCTAGCCAGCGTTACTTGTTGAGACAGCAGCTTAATGATAACCAGTCTTTAGACAGAACCTCACTTAGATCATCTATTAACCGCCTCACCAATCAGATCAAGCAGAGACTTTCTAACATACGATCAGCTGCTGAGAAAGATTAGGGGACAGAAATGTTTACTTTGTTTACTATCTGTTTCTTAGAGCTTTCGTTTATATATAGCTCTACTTCACACACTACCTAAACACGTAGCACAACGTGTAACTGGATGCAGCTGTGTGCAAGCAACACCATATAGTTACACTACCCTGACTTGTTTAAGCTTGCATTTACTTGAGAATATTTGTCTACAAACCTGCCCAGAGATTATCATAATTTGCTATCACGGTTAAGGAGTTCACATTACATATATCTATCGCTCGCATGCTTTCGTATCATACATCAGTGCAAATGTAGTGGTAGTCAATAGTGGTATTAAAATACAGGTAGAGCGATAGAGTGTTAAACTAGAGGTCTTGGGTTCAAGCTGTCAGCTTTTCGAATTAAATATCACTGACAGAGGCAACATGTGGGTGCGATAATATTTTGTAAATAATGCGATTCCGCACCTGCCCAAAACCTTTTTTATATGCGGCAAATCTGGAGACAAAAAACAACGCAAATTTGCAGTCTCTAAGTACTGTCTGTATGGATTATTGAACAGTATATGACGAGTGTTATGTTTAACTTACAAGGTGTTTTACGTAATGTCTCACACTGGACTATTCAAGATTATAAACCTGAAAATAAGGTTTTACTATTAGATGGTCAGGATAACTAGTTGAGCTGGTGATGACTATAATTGAAGTAGATTATTCAATATCATAACTTTTTAACTTTACAATTCAAGACACATGTATTATATAAGCGACTGACGTGACAGAATTTCAATCTGTTGAGGGATTGCGATCCATCTTGACTAGTTATTCATTTGCCAAGATTCACCCTTTTTTGTTTTCATCAACATAAAAAACGATAGTATTAAAAGTATTAAAAGTTGATGCATATTATCAGAATATTTTTAGGATGAAAAATTGTTTTAGATATATTAATATATATATATTATGATCTTCCTGATGTTATAGAGTAATTATACTTGAACAGCTGTTTTAACGGCTGATAGTGCAAAAAAGTGCGGTATTAGGTCAATAGTGCAATTCCGTACCGCACTTATACGTTGCCTCTGACCACTGATGTATAATGTATATCGTACGAAAGCATGCGAGCGATAAATATTATATATGTTATATATATCGTGTAATGTGAAATCATTATCCGTGATAACTGATAGCAAATCATGATAATCTCTAGATTTATGGTCTACTAAAATGAGTATTACAAAATGAGTATTAGGCAAGAGCACAGAGCACAATGTATCATGGCTTTGCAATTTCAGATTTTAGAGCTACCCAAAACTGTAAATCATGTTAGGGGTGGGCACGAAAATGCAAATTTTCCAAATTTTTCATTTCGTTAGTTCTATTATTAGTGTGTTTTGTGGAGAGGCTATTGTAATTGTATGTTATAACTGTACCTCTAAATTAATAGTACACTAATTGTACTGTCCTCTTCCATAGAAAAACACATATTTTAGTAACACGATCAATTTACATGTGATATACAGCGGTGCGATAGTTGTGTTACATATTTTATACAAATATGTGTACTGTGTAAATACTAAATATGTGTAAATATGTGTAAGTATGTGTAAATATGTGTAATGTGTACAACAGAAATATTGAATTGTCAGCCTGCTGTTTTTAAGAAACTAAGCGATGTAAGGCTGTATAGTGGATACGTTAGATACCAACACGTATCTCATTTGATCATAATCATATCAAATTATCATCTTGATGGAAACTTATCTGAATTTTAGGGACTATCATTATTCAATATTGAGAGGTTAGTAAAGGAAGTTACACTGCATTTTTGTTTGTGTTACACAAAAACACACACGGGACATAATGCCTTGGATAGTGACAAATGATACTTCATTGATATTTCTGTTGACGTAAAGACGTAAGATTTATTCTAAACAAACCACTTTAGTCTGTTTGTTTAGGAATAAATATTCTTTTCTAAACGATTTATCATATATATTAGGACGCAATGAAACTACCGGACCACGATGTACGGGGACTTGCCACACCACATTAAACAACATTAAAATATATCGACTCTGTTACTACATCGTTTCCTGTTAATATAAAACTCCGTTACAAATTGAACTGGGATCTGGCAATACTACACCTTAGTTCAATAAAATATGATAAAGTAATGTATAAATATACTTAAGTAAAAGTCTGAAAGAATATAGAAAACAAAATAGTATACTGCTTGAAAGCTAAATAATAAACTGTGAAAGAGTAGTCAACGTGAATAAAACTGTTCCGATATGACATAACTAATAACGATCAGATTAACTTCAGTTTTTAATTAAGAAATGTACGGACAAAAATGTTTGAGATTAATCCGGATTATCGGGCCATTAAGGCGGGAAATGAGAAGCGTTGCTGTCTAGTATTAATAAGGCGGGAAATGAGAAGCGTTGCCGTCTAGTTGTTGCTGTCTAGTATTAATAAGAAAAGTACTTTTCCACAAACGACACAATGTTATAATGTCTTGTTCAATGTAGCGTGTCTGTATGTTAACGTAACTGTTCAAGTGTTCCGACAAGTGACAACACTGTCGTTGTCTACTGATTACTGCTTTACTGACAACACTGTCGTTGTCTACTGTATCTTAAAATAGAAACACATTTAAACTAACCACCATATGTTTATTAACTACACTTACTATTACTGGCTGTTTCATGTTACACTTGGTTTAATTTTCATGATGTTAAAATTTGTTTTTGTGTGGCTGGTTTCACACGTTACCTTCTAGTTTTCTGTTGCATGTAAAAAGTAAGGTTGTCCTTGAATGCTTGGGAAAGTAATGCAAATGTTGAGATATCGCTCTTTAAAAGTTTCATTATGTTTTCTACGCAGCTTTCAGCTTGAGCTGTGTAGAAAATATCAATTGTGCAGAGTGTAAAGTATATTATATTATGATACTATGTTTACAGTACATTATAATGTAGATGTACTGAAGAGGTACCTCTTCATTTAACTTTCTATCACGTTTCCCATCATTCTATGTGAAATGTGGACTGTGATGTGCTCTGTTAACTACTCTGTGAGGGACCGTTCACACTTCACGTGTTACGTCAGCTAAATCTTGCTGACTAAGCAAGATTTAGCCGATCCTAGAAACTACATTAGTATCAGCTATTTTTCTAGCGCGATATTTGTAATATTATAAACTGTAATATTATGGTTTTCATACAGCATACAATATACACATATAATACATATTATGTGCATAAATCACGTACAGTCTTGATTTTTAATAACATACGGTACGTTGAACTTCGAATTCGATTTTCTATTCGGTTATCTAAACTTTTAACTGATTATAATCATGACATGTTACGGTATCTTGACAGGTAATATTGCTACAGTGAATGACCAGTGACTGTACATTATTTATGGAGAGATAAGGTATAAATTAATAAAGACACTGAAATGAAATCTGACCCTCGCCTCAGAGTCCCGTCATTAAGTCTTAAGCACTGACGTATCATGTTTTCAGTGGATTGTGTATACGATGTGGTGTTTGCGTTCCCCGGCCCTGACATCCCCGGTACCTGGAGCATGTTATCGGGAAAGAGCACAAATGTGGACGTGTATTTCAGGTAATTAACTAACTTTAAATCGTCATCTTTCCTGTGGTTTAGCGAGTGTGGTTTAGTGTGGTTAAGTGTGGTTTAGTGTGGTTTAGTGTGGTTTAGCGAGTGTGGTTTAGCGAGTGTGGTTTAGCGAGTGTGGTTTAGTGTGGTTTAGCGAGTGTGGTTTAGCGAGTGTGGTTTAGCGAGTGTGGTTTAGCGAGTGTGGTTTAGCGAGTGTGGTTTAGCGAGTGTGGTTTAGCGAGTGTGGTTTAGCGAGTGTGGTTTAGCGAGTGTGGTTTAGCGAGTGTGGTTTAGTGTGGTTTAGCGAGAAGAAGGCTGCGAGGAGCTCGTTAAAAGAGACCACTGTTGAACATGTTTGAGATGGAATAGTTTGATGAGGCTTATAAATAGAAAATATAAGTTGTAGCTGCAGTAGGGAGGCATCACACAATGGCAGCTCTTTAACAGAGAGCCAACAGTTTGGAGAGGAGAACCTGGACTATTGTTATTGGAGAGTAGTTGGTGCTACACAGTGGTCCTATACAGTACTAGTGTGTACTTGTTCGATCTACAAACATAAAGGGACACTGATTGCTTTTCCTGTGTCCCATCGACCTATAAAAGGAGCATGGACGAGATGATTCTATCGTGATCTATCATCTATGAATGGGAAAGCGGGAGAGGGAATTTGAAATATGGTCATTCTTCGGAGATCCTTAGTTTGTAAGCCGCCACAACACAGATATGGTTCCCGCATGGTATGCGCGCGCGCGCGCGGTTCGTCTTACGTACGAATGCGCGTAGTATGTACTGTACGTACGTCATATCAGGTCGTTATATTACGTTTCGCATGTAACGTTGAACGTACAGTATCAAAACTACCGCTTCTTTGAATCCAGTTGTAATTTCGACACTGTACTCGGAAGTGAAGTTATGACAGTTTAAAGATGTTGGTTTCACTGAAAAATACACTCAATTTCAAACAAGCCAAACATTTTGACACCCTTCTGTATTCTGATTTTTTTTTTCAACCGAGCAGCTTTTGTTATTTCCGATTACCTTAATTCCCAAAAATTTGGGCGACAAAAAATTTGAGCGGGCCTCTCGCCCAAATTTTTTGCAGACCAAATTAATTGCATAAATCTTTTCCGTCTGATAAATTTGTTGCTAACCAAACTTTTGGCATTTGGCCTGTGGCCCTGAAAACTATAGAAAGATGGCTTTTTCTTCATATCCAAGTGAAATAATATTTGAAATTTTAGTTTTCTAATCTGTCATTCATGGCTTGACCAAGTAAAAAGGCTTATATTTTAAATGAATGTCTGGTTAATTAAAATTAGACTTGACCTTTGGTTCGGGTTTACAGTAGTTCGCTACACACAATTATGTACACCTTTGTTTCCCCCAAAGCTAAGCGTATGTGCCGCTTAGTTTGATAGATCATGATGTAAACCTTCTAATTTTCTTCCAAACCTTTCGACCATCTGGTGAGGCGTCATAATGATAATTGTATGTGAAAGGGGTATGATAAGATATGCTGAGTGTAAGTAGACTGAACTATCTGATTGAGAGACTAAATATCACTATTGTATATATCTATCATTTTGTACTGTGCCATCATCACTGTATTTTTTAGTAGTTACTGGGCAGATCGTAAATTTCATAATGTGAAACAACTCAGACTACCACCTACATGCTTAAAATTTAAAGCAAAATGACTGGAATAGTAAGGAATAATAATGAACTAAGGCAAATATCTAACTGAAATTTTAGTGGAAAATCGTTCATTTTTCGAAAAATTTGTGCCCAAATTTTCGGTCGCCCAAATGAGTTCAAATTTTCTGCCCAAATTTTTCGGGCTCAAATAAATTGTGCTCAATATAATGGCACACAAATTTTTGGGAACTAAGGTATATCCCTTCTTTAAAAATTGTAATTATTACCAATTTACTGAATCTGTTTGCAGTATATTGAAATCCCATTTATCAATTAGAACTTTGATCGTTCATCGTTGAATTATTACAATTTTCGACAGATACAATAATTATAAACGCTACTACATATTATTCTCAGACGAATCGCGGCTGGAGATGTACCGAAGGACGATAAAAATGCCCTAGCTGAATTTATAGTGCAGCAATTCCGAAATAAGGTAATAATTCATATTAACGCTCCGTGATAGAATGAGTAGGCGTCTGTATCTGTTGTGTTATCTCGTATTCTATAGATTTATCTTAAAGGAGACTTTTAAAATGTCCCTACCTCGATAAACTAAAATAATTATCGTTACCAATAATTTTCTGCATTTAGTCACATACATTGACAATGTCACTTTGTCAACATCTGAATACCGAACAAATTTCACGTTAAGAAAAGTGTTCATAAAATACAATTTAAATACCAAATTTCACGTTAAGAAAAGTGTTCATAAAATACAATTTATACCATTATACTTATAGTGCATGATGTGAACAGCTGTCACACTACATAATACCAAGTTCGACAGCTTCGTATTATTCAGAGTGTGTTTTTAGGATATTTAAAATCTAACTACCGTCAATTTTAGGACGAGTTACTTGACTTCCACAAGGAGCACCACAGTTTCCCTGGCAACCAGGTTGTCTTACCCAAACGATACGTTTCCCTGGTTATGTTCTACATGTTTAGTTTCCTGACCGTTACTCCGGGTGTGTTTTTCCTCTGCCATCTCGTCACAAACCAGTGTTATAACATGTTGCTTTTCATCGGCTTCTGCTGCATTCTCGGTGAGTTATAAGTTTTAGTTATGTGTTGTTTTCTTTTATATAATATGTACTAGTAGTTATATTCAGTTCCACGATCTGAATTGTAATGGTGGGTCAGTCCATCCACTATCAACTATGGACAATTCAAGTCAGACAGTCTTACTGCTATATTTTTGAGATTTTAATTTAGAATCAAACGTCTAATTTCATTCATTTTTGTGGTCAACAAATGTACAGTTAAAATTCTCAGGCGGAGTAACGTCGCACTGGATTATCAGTGTAGCAAATGTAAAACAGGGAACAAAATCTCTCTCAAGTACTAGTGCAGAAAAGCTGAAGGGAGCATAAATAAACGTTGAGTAACCTACCTATTTACCTGGTTACCTGGTTACCTGGCATAAATAAACGTTGAGTTACCTATCAAGATTATTGGCTAAAGCTCAGCCATTTTTAAAACTTTGTCCAAAAGGACAGTAGGCTGTATTTTTAATTTAATTTATGTACATGCAGATGATTTTGAAATTTGGACGGAAGTTTTGATCATAAAATTGTTGAATGTAAATGTAATGTGATTCAAGTTGTACTAAATTATTTTAGGTTCGTAAATAATTTATACGGTTTTGGTAATGTTTCAGAAATCCAGTTTTATTACACTAGCTGCTTTGCATTGGCAAATGCGGTCAATTTAAGCAAGCGCATTTTTTTTGCATTTTACAAATTTAACGTTTTGGTTCAGCTCAGATACTATTACTAGATATGATTTGTGCCCTGTCGATTAAGAACCATATGTGATATGGAATATGGATCAAATAGCCACTTCCATAATGATAATTACTACACACGCAGTGAGCACGGGTATATTTAAAAGGTTACATACATGATACATACATGAAGAGGTCTCCTCCTAGTCGTTGGAGTGGCCTGCATCACACACATCTCTTCTACGGTGTAACATGTTCCTCCATTCCACCCGTTTTAGAGCTAACTGTTTTACTGCGTCTCTGCTGATGTTATCGACACCTGTAAAGTCAGCCGCATCCTCAAGTACACAGGCCATCCAGCCTTTGTCTCAGTCTCTAATTCCATAGTTTGGTTTCTAATCCAGTAAAAAATTTGGAAACTGTGTCTGGCATTCTGACAACGTGTCCCGGTGTCCGTACCACCTTATATTAGTCTAGCCGAACCTATGAAAGTTACAATAGACATAATTCCAGCACGCCTGAGAACGTCTTCATTGGAGACATGGAAGAACCACTTTATCTTCAAGATTCTTCTCAGGGAAGTCAGATGGAAGACCTCGAACCGTTTCATCTGCTTCTTTGTTGTGTTCCAGACTTCAGCTCCATATAACAGAATAGTAATAACAGCAGCCTTGTGGATACGGATCTTGGTGGGCGTTCTTAGTTCTACTGTTCCATATCTTCCAAAGCTGATGGAACGCACCATTAGCACTCTGGATCCTGATGTCAAGATCTCGGTCAATGGTACCATCCCCACTGATGTTGGCACCAAGATAAACAAAGTTACTGACCTGTTCAACAGGTTCTCCCTCCACTGTTAGCTTTATACTGTCTCTTTCGGTGTATGGTCGCTGGGAGTTGGGACGCACACTTGTTGATCGCCATGCATTGTGTCTTTTTAGCGTTGATCTTTAACCCAGCATCTGCATAAGAGGTGTAATAAGCGATGAGATCAGTGGACTCTTGCAGCCCTTCTTCAGTACTGTCCATCACTGCCAGATCATAAGCGTAGTCACTATCCATGATAACTTGTTCGTCTGTACCCTTCAGTTCCTTTTGCAGTACAGCACCATGACTGATTGCCTTGTGAACTTCGGCCAAAAAGATTCCAAAGTTCAGACAAAAATTAAATATAAGAGGGCCCTGGATATCACCCAGTGCCTGAATTGACAGAGAACCAATCAGACATTTCACCATTAACCCTGACATGACAGCACTCATGGTTCCACGTTGAAAAATGCCTGAAAGATTCTAACATATTTCTCAGGAAGTCCATAGTGTCTCATGCTTGACCAGATAAACTCTCTTCTGATGGAATCAAACGCTGCCTTAAAATCAATGAAATTAACATAAAGTGGAATGTTAAACTCAATACAGTTATGAATAATGGTGCGGATGGGATAAATCTGATCAATTATACATGAGCGGTTCCGTCTAACCAACGCTGATTTTCTCTAAGAAGACACTCCATTCCAACATCCAGCCTCTTAAGAAGAACCATTTGAAGAACCTTAGAAGATGTTTCCCTAAGAGTTATACCCCTATTATTGCAGTAGTATGAGGTGTCTCCCTTCTTTCTGATAACCACTATAACCCCTTTAAGCCAATCCTCAGGGATCACCTCTTCTTCCCATACCTTTTTAAACAGTAGCTCTATTTGGCCAACAAGGCAACAAGAGCGCTTCCACCATGATACTTAAGTTGCTCATTAGTTATCTCATCAACCCCCGCACTTTTGCAGTTCTTTAGAGCATAACTAATCTCATCTCTAGGAGGATATCCACCAGAACAAGAAAGGTAGTCAAAACTCCATTTTGAGGGCACACCATCTAGGTTGGCATCCGATAGTGGAGGATTTAAGAGCTCAGTAAAGTGCTCCTTCCACCTTTCCTTCTGACTGTGCGGGTCTGTAATAAAATGACCATCCTTATCCCTAATTGACATACCCACTTTCATCTTCTTCTTCCCTGAAATCTTCTTTATCTTATCCTGCATGAACTTCCCTTTGCTGGCCTTTCTTAGAAGCCTCCTCTAGATCAGTCGCTATTTTAGTAGCCCAGTTGTTGTCGTCAATTCTACAGCTTTTCTTAACTAATTCATTAAGTAGGCTGATTCATAGAGTAGGCTGATCTATTGACGTTTGAAGTGGGATCCCTCCGTTTGAAAATTCCCCGTTTCTCTATCAAGTTCTTAGAGGTTTGCGAAAGGTGCTGTTTTTAACCTTCCGGGGACGCTTTCTAAGCACTTCCGTCGAGACATTCTTGACTGTCTGCTTGAAATTATCCCACATGTCCTCAAGGTTGACCTCATTAGCCAGACAATCAAAAAGGTTCAGAAGAGCCACGTTGTACTCTTGAACCTTAGACGAGTTCCGCAATTTTATTTTAAAGGGGCTAGCCAAAATCTTCTTAATTTTGATATAAACAACTATCCATTACTGATAAATAGTAGGGCCAGTTCCCCCCCCCCCCCCCCCCCCCCCCCCCCCCAGTTCCGTGCAACTCAAGACACGAGTGAGAATTTAGATGGCAGATAAATAGCCCTCCTATTTCCAGTCTCCTTATCAATAGCAAAAACAGCGAAAATGTTTTGTTAAACATTTAAAACTGGGTATTTACTGTTTAGCAGGTAAGCTTTTTAGCTGAATTTGTTTCGTATGGATTTAATTGTTACGCTTTGTTAAGTATAATTGTTTACAAATAGACAGAAAACTGTGGTATTTATTGATTTTGTAAAAATAAACTTTCATAACAACATATCGTCAACAAAATTCACAACATTCACAAACAGTTCAGTCAATAATACGCCGCGAAAATTAGCCGTAAATTTGATAATTGCTAGCCTATCCCCATAATTACAGGAAAACAAAAATACCATTCACAGCCTCAGGAAATGATCAGCATAAAAAAGATTCGAAGCTAATCTCTAAATACTTACTCTTGGCTCAGAGCCAAGGAATTAACATAATTATTATAGAAACACACGACACTCTGACTATTAAATTGTTCTGATCTCTAATACTCTAAATATACAGAGTCCTGCTTGTACCAACGCCCGCATCAGCACGAGATTCTTCTACATTTTAAACAGTTTATTCTCCTCTATTCGACCTGAAAATGTTGATCTTGTTAAGAAATTCCAATGATTTCGAATTAAGGAATAAGGGAACGTTCACACATAAAACTAGGGAAAGGGAATAATAATATGGGCAAATTGATAGAGACAAAACTGAAATTGAGCGAACCTTAGGAACTCCTTTAGTAGCGGACCCTCTGTACACCAGGGAATCTTTACCAGGTTCAATCTCAATCAGCGAGCAAGTAGCCAGCATCACCCCTCCAATAAGGATTATAGCAGTCCCCACAAAGATCATGAACGATGCTGAGAAAGTTGTAGATCGAAATGTTGCTACGTTGTACTCCTGTTGTAGTGTTTTCTGAAAGAAGAAATAAAATGGTTAACAGATTCAGGTTTATAGAATTGCAGATTCTGAAAAGACGTTCTATGGTGAGCAGATCCAAAATATTTAAAGATTTATCAAATATTTACAAATATCGACGTCAATTAATAATTGACGGCGATATTTGTAAGTATTGACCGCGTTTTTCAACCGGTGCATATCGAACGGCCGAGCTTCAAAGAGCCAACATGTGTGCGCGGCACCGCAGCCGCGCAATTTGAGTGCCACTGCAACGTGCTTTAATAGTCGCGGAGACACGGAAGTGCTAGTCTGTTAGGCTCCAAAATCCGTATTCCGTACCTAGACGGAAATAACATACTTACTTGAATCACTACGAATATTATTTTAAAATAGTCTCCAGCTCTGACAAGCGACAGAAAGTGAGAATAGAGACGAAAAATCAGAAATGTTCAGCTGATCAGCGTCTCATTGTCCCGGCGCCTCCCGCAAGATCTGATAATCAAAAACACCAGTATGTCTCCAGTTAATTAGAACGGAAACGACATCAATACAAACAAAGAAACGGTCTCAGCACCTCTTTTGTTGGTTCAATCAATTCAGGCAACTGCCATGTGCCCTGCGGGGATTTCATGCAATATTTATGCTTCTATTTGTGTGATCGAAACGTGATCTGTAGATTAAGGACTCCTCTGTGAGTATAAAATTATGAGTAGCAGTTCAAGTAGTCATAGTTATAGATATCTACAGGAGCAAAGAGTATGTGATCTGTATCATGAATATGAATTATCGTGATCTATTTGATGATGCCAGATATTGGACCTTCTGTACCTTGTTATCTGTATTGTATAGAAAGATATGTGCTAACTCAAGCTGCTACGCATCGCTGATTTTAGATCTTTCCATGTACATATTTGCACCAGCGCGCTGTTTCCCTGCTCTTTCCACGTATGAGATTAGATGAAATTCCAGTTCAAAGTTCTATGTTCCATTGTATAAATTCCAGGGGTCAAATTTAAGAGATATTAGAATGGGCCACTGTTAAAGAGGAATTCTCATTATTCTAAGAGAGGGAAACAATTACTCCTTACAGCTATAACAGGTCGTGACTCTGAGAGAGTTGATGGAAACAATTACTCCTTACAGCTACAGGTAGTAACTTTATTTGGGAGTCTGTAGTCTGCACACATTGCAGATGACACATTGCACATTGCACCTGACAGTACGTGACATAATCATCCTTCAAAAACTTCCGCTTCAACCCCCACAACAGTATCAGATGTGCTTGACTTGACCAAGTGTATACAACCTGGGGTTTTCATTGGAGTAGGACATGTCACATGACAAATATCTCAAGTACCATTGGCCGTGATGCCGCACACTCGACCCCTCAGTTTTCTACTAAATGGATATCAACAGTCAGATAATTGTAGGAACCTGACATGCTAATGCTGTCACCTAATAAACGGGCTCTCAATTTTAACAGTTGTTACTGTAAATTATATTAATCTCAATTATATGATTTGTAACA